CCCAAGAGGTGGAGGTTGCAGTGAGCTAAGATTGCACCACTGCACTCCACCCTGGGCAACAAGCACGAAACTCTGTCTCAAAAATGAAATGAAATGAAATGAAATGAAATGAAATGAAATGAAATGAAATGAAATGAAATAAAAATAAAGAGGGCCGGGCGCGGTGGCTCAAGCCTGTAATCCCAGCACTGTGGGAGGCCGAGACGGGAGGATCACGAGGTCAGGAGATCGAGACCATCCTGGCTAACACGGTGAAACCCCGTCTCTACTAAAAATACAAAAAACTAGCCGGGCGAGGTGGCGGGCGCCTGTAGTCCCAGCTACTCCGGAGGCTGAGGCAGGAGAATGGCGTAAACCCGGGAGGCGGAGCTTGCAGTGAGCTGAGATCTGGCCACTGCACTCCAGCCTGGGCGACAGAGCGAGACGCCGTCTCAAAAAAAAAAAATAAATAAAGAGTAGTTTGTATCACTGCCTGAAAAATAAATTCAATGGTACTGCAAAATGGGAGGTGATGGGAAAAAACAAACTAAGTACAGTGGAAACTGTACTTAGAATGTTATGGCCAGGTGCGGTGGCTCCCACCTGGAATCTCAGCACTTTGGGAGGCTGAGGCAGGAGGATCACTTGAGCCCAGGAGTTCAAGACCAGCCTGGGCAACATAAGGAGACCCTGTCTCTACAGAAAATGAAAAACTTAGCCAGGTGTGGTGGCATGAGCCTATAATCCCAGCTATTCAGGAGGCTGAGGTGGGAGGATCGCTTGAGCCCAGGAGGTCGAGGCTACAGTGAGCTATGATTGTGCCACTGCACTCAAGCCTGGGCAACAGAGCAAGACCCTGACTATAAAACAGCAACAACAACAAAGAGAATGTCATGAAAACCTGTATCTCTGATGGTTGCAGGCATTGGTGCCCTGGGGTCCTCTTCCTCTTGAGACGGGGAGGGTGGCGGGTGCTGGTGGTGCCGTGACCAAGGGATGAGGAGGCAGCTGGAACAGAAGCAGGCCATTCTTGTGCTGTGGGATCACGCACTGGCTGTGGTGGCCCACCGTGCTCCAGGCCTCATCTTCAGCCCTCCCCTCTGTGTCTGTGTCTCCTACTCTATCTCTTACAGGGACACCAGTCATTGCACTTAGGGCCCACCTTAACCCTCATCTAGACATCTTGCCTTGTGATTATCACATCTGCACAGACCCTTTTTCCTAAAACCATCACATTCACAGGTTCTGGGGGCAGGGTGTATCTTTCAGGGGCCATGGTTCCGCCCCCTCCAGGTCCTCCAGGTACCAGCCCCAGCTGCCCTCAGTGCTCTGTCACCTGCAGGGCCCAGCACACTTGTGTAGTTCCGGCCAGGTTGTGCAGTGACTTTGTCTATGTCTGTGGGTGCCACTTGAGGCTGAGCCCTGGCCCTGGGCAGGTGATCCAGCGAAGGATGGCACCAAGGGCACTGCAGGCAGCCCTGGCTGGTGGCTCTTCTTGTTCACAGAGGCTGGGCAGGTGTAGCCAAGGGAGGGTCTGAGGCCACAATGCCCTCCTGAGGAGACTATTCCTCACAGGACTGTGACCTCCTGAGGAGCTCAGAGCAAGAGCCCACAGGAGGGTGGGAGGGACCCCCTTCGGCCAGGACTCAGGCCTCGGGCACCTCACCCACTGTTGGGGGATGGCAAATGGCTGAATCCTTTCTGGGGAAGGTGACTTTGCAGAACGTGTCCAGGCTGCCTGACCTCAATTCTAGGAATCGAGGAGTAGAGAGGCTGCGCCATTCTCACCCGAGCACCCAAGTGCAAGGACAGCCCCCAGGGTCTGTGGCGTCAGGGGCGGTGCTGGGCAGCAGTCAGACATGGCCGATGGTTACAGGGGAAGGTGAAACAGACGCAGCGCGTCCCACGGGCTGATGATGAAAGATGCCGACCCCCAGCAACCGGCTGGAAAAGGTCTTTAGGACCTGGTTTCTGTCTGTTTGAGAGCAGTTTTATTTATTTTTATTTTTTGAGACCCAGTCCAGTCTTGCTCTGTCACCCAGGCTGAAGTGTACTGAAATCACAGCTCATTGCAGCCTCGACCTCCTGGGCTCAGGTGACCTTCTCACCTCAGCCTCCTGAGTACCTGGGACCACAGGTGCATGCCACCACATCCAGCTAATTTTTTTCTCTAGAGACGGGGTCTCACTATGTTGCCCAGGCTTGTCTCAAACTCCTGGGCTCAAGCGATCCTCCTACCTCAGCCTCCCAAAGTGCTGGGATTCCAGGTGGGAGCCATCACGTCCAGCTAAGAGTAGTTTTAGATTTACAGAAAAATTGCAAAGGTTGTACTGAGTTCCCCAACACCCCACACATCCAGCGTCCCTTATGCATAACCTCTCACAGTGCTGCGGTGCATTTGCCTCACTAATGGACAAGTGCTGAGACAGTATTAATATTAATGGAGCTCCACACTTTATTCACGTTTCCTCCGTTTTTCCTGAATGTCCTTTCTCTGTCCAAGGATCCCACCTGAACTTTAGTCCTCACATCTCCTTTTTTTTTTTTTTTTTTTTTTTTGAGATGGAGTCTCGCTCTGTCACCCAGGCTAGAGTGCAGTGGCCGGATCTCAGCTCACTGCAAGCTCCGCCTCCCGGGTTTACGCCATTCTCCTGCCTCAGCCTCCCAAGTAGCTGGGACTACAGGCGCCCGCCACCATGCCCGGCTAAATTTTTTGTATTTTTAGTAGAGACAGAGTTTCACTGTGTTAGCCAGGATGGTCTCGATCTCCTGACCTCGCTCACATCTCCTTAGACTTCTCTGGGCTGAGATGGTTTCTCAGGCTGTCCTTGTTTTTGGTGACCGTGACTGTTTGGGGGAGCAGTGGTCAGGGGTGCTGGAGAATGCCCCTCTGTTGGGATGTGTCTGGAGTTTTTTCCTTTTCTTTCTTTTGAGACAGAGTCCACTGTATCACCCAGGCTGGAATGCAGTGGCATGATCTCAGCTCACTGCAACCTCCACCTCCTGGGTTCAAGTGATTCTCCTGACTCAGGCTCCCGAGTAGTTGAGATTACAGGTGCCCGCCACCATGCCCGGCCAATTTTTGTATTTTTAGTAGAGATGGGATTTTGCCAGGTTGGCCAGGCTGGTCTTGAACTCCTGACCTCGTGATCCACCCACCTCAGCCTCCCAAAGTGCTAGTATTACAGGTGTGAGCTACTGCGCCCAGCCTGATGTTCTTCTCACGGTCAGATGGGGTGATGGATCTGGGGGAGGAAGACCCTGGTCGTCACACTCCATCAGAGGCAAGTGCATCCACCTGACTTATCCCAGCCAGTGTTGCCCTGGATCACCTAGCCCAGCTGGGATCCATCAGGTTTCTGTGCTGCAGTCACTGGCAGCCCCCTTTCCAGACTGCACTCTTTGGAAAGAAGCCGCTAAGCGCAGCCACACCTGAGGGTAGGAGGCGTGGCCCCTCCTGGAGGTCCAAGCTGCTGAACTATTTGGGAATCCTTTGCCTGGGAGATTTGTCTCTTCTCTACCATATACTTACTTATTCTGTCATTTCTTTATATCATATGGACGCATGGTTATTTATTTTATAGTTCAGGCTTTCATCCATGGCTGCTTTATGTTTTTTTCCATTTCCACTCAAACTGTTCCAGCTTTGGCCATCAGGGGTTCTTTCGGAGGGTGCCCATGACCCCCTAACCACACCCATCTGCTTTGGTTTCTGTTTCTGAGCACGTCCTCCATGACTGGCACCTCCACGTGCTCCAGGCTCATCCTTTCTCTCCAGCCCCATCTTTGAAGCAGGTGTTTCTCCCAGCCTGGGCTACAGAGGGAGATTCTGTCAAAACAGAAACAAAAAAATCACCCTTAGCTGGCCAAGGTGGGAGGATCACTTGGGCTCAGGAATTTGAGGCTGCAGTGAGCTATGATTGTGCTACTGCACTCGAGCCTGGGTGGAAAAAAAAAATAGGCCAGGTGCGGTGGCTTATGCCTATAATCCCAGCACTTTGGGAGGCCAAGGCGGGCAGATAACTTGACGTCAGGAGTTCGAGACTAGCCTGGCCAACATAGTGAAACCCCATCTCTACTAAAAATAAAAAATTAGCTGGGTGTGGTAGCAGCCACCTGTAGTCCCAGCTACTTGGGAGGCTGAAGCACAAGAATTGTTTAAACCTGGGAGGCAGAGGTTGCAGTGAGCCAAGATCGTGCCACTGCACTCCAGCCTGGGAGACAGAGTGAGACTCTGTCTCAAAAAATAAATACATAAATAAAAAATAAATAAAGTATTTCGGTGGACAGAGACCCTCAGGTCCAAGCTGACACAAGCCCACTGGATGTGTGGCCCGACAGTGGTATTGGCACCAAGCACCTCGGTGTTGGCACGGAGCACTGAGCACCTCGGCCACGCTGGCCCCACAACCCGCTGGTAGCTGTGTGACCTTGGCTGGCTGCTTAACTTCTCTGAGCCTATTTGCTCCCTGGGCACCAGATTTGGATAAAGAACAGACTGTTGGCCGGGCGCGGTGGCTCAAGCCTGTAATCCCAGCACTTTGGGAGGCCGAGACGGGCGGATCACGAGGTCAGGAGATCGAGGCCATCCTGGCTAACACGGTGAAACCCCGTCTCTACTAAAAAGTACAAAAAAACTAGCCGGGCAAGGTGGCGGCCGCCTGTAGTCCCAGCTACTTGGGAGGCTGAGGCAGGAGAATGGCGTAAACCCGGGAGGCGGAGCTTGCGGTGAGCAGAGATCTGGCCACTGCACCCCAGCCTGGGTGACAGAGCCAGCCCCCTTTTAAAAAAAAAAAAAAAAAAAAAGAACAGACTGTTTGTGAGGATTACATGCCAGTGCCAACAAGAAAGGCTTTTGTAAATGATTAAGCAATACACACAGGACCGTGGCCGCAGAATACAGTTGAGGGCATCCCTCCCCATGCAGGGAGCCAGAAACCAGGATAGGAAAAGGCTGGTGGGAACACCCGCCATCTCTCAGGATCTCGCCGTATCTTACCACCTCCCCTTACCCCCCCCAGGACCGAGTCTCCTGCCATTCCGAGCAGGCCTGGTATGGATAATGGTGTGAAGGAAGGCCCGGTGCGATTGCGTGAGGATGCCGAGGCTGTCCTGTCCTCGTCCGTCTCATCAAAGGCAAGTACCCCGGCCTCCCGGGATGGGTGTTCTCCTGGGGCCCCAGCCTCCCTACCCCCACTCCCAGGCTCCCCACCCCCTCCTCCCAGCTTCTGCGCCCTCTCCAAACAGGTTCAGAGATTCCTCTCCTGTGCTCCATGCACCCCATCACAAATCACCCTGCACCTAAGATGTGCATGTTAGTACCCCTGCCCACCTGGGCTGAGGGTGGAGTAGCGGAGCCTCTCTGCTCCCACAGCCCTAGATACTGTAAGGTCATGGGATGGAGGACACCAGCCACCCTCTATTCCACCAAAAGCCCTGCTTGTGATGTGAATCCAACCAGCCCAGCCACCTGGTAAGAGGCAAAAACCTCACCCAGCGCCAGCATGGGGTGGGAAGCCTGAGGTATCAGATGTGTCTTGGAGCCCCCTTTTCTCCCTCAGATTTTGGAACACTAAGGAATTAGCCAAGGCCAGGCCTGGTGGCTCACGCCTATAATCCCAGTACCTTGGGAGGCTGAGGTGGCAGGATCATATGAGACCAGGAGTTTGAGTTTCACCTGGGCAACATGGTGAAACCCCGTCTCTACTAAAAATATAAAAATTAGCCAGGCGTGGTGGCACACACCTGTAATCCCAGCTACCTGGGAGGCTGAGGCAGTTGAATTGCTTGAACCCGGGAGGCGGAGGTTGCAGTGAGCCGAGATTGTGCCACTGCACCCCAGCCTGAGCGACATGGTAAAACCCTGTCTCAAAAAAAAAAAAAAAAGGCAACTGCAGAGAGCCAAAGGGGGTGGGCATGCTTGGGCTTTACTCTGTGTTTCCAAGTTCACCTCTGAAGTCCACAGTTCCATTGAAGAAAAGATATTCTCTCAAAGTACTTGGGTCAGCCCTGTTGTTGTTCACCGTAGAAACCAGAACCCCCACTGGCCCCTAAGTCCTATCAGGTGAACCTGAAACACAGACCAACCCAGCCCCACGCAGAAACCACTGCACTCCCAGGGCCCAACTCAGGCCGACTGCACAGGCAGTTTTCAAAGTCCATGGGGTCAAAGACTGAGGTGGCATCATTTTCCAGGCCTCCTGACCTTTCCCCGGATTCCAGGTGACACCTCAGAACAGCAGGTGGGCGGGAGGACTCGTTTACTGGGGTTACCACCAGGTGACCGAGGCACAGGGCAGGCACGTGCCTTGAAGTTTAGTGAAGGTCCCAAAAGAGCTGGAAGAACACCTGGATACGGCTGTTGCTCTTCATGCCGGAGAGGAGGGGGTCTGCAATGTGGATCCCACCACATGGACAAGCTTAAGACAGCGATGGCTGCCGAACCACATGCAGAAATGCGCCAGTGCTGGTCACTTGCTGGGCATCACACACACATGCCCATTCTCCTCTGTGCTGGCAGGCCCTGGAGACATTACTCTTGGTCTGCCTGGCCAGCCCCAAGGTGGGAGGGACTCACTCTGCAAAGTCTCTTTTCTTTGGTTAAGAAGCTGAGCCTTGGCTGGGCATGGTGGCTCATGCCTGTAATCCCTGTACTCTGGGAGGCCCAGGTGGGAGGATTGCTTGAGGTCAGGAGTTCGAGACCAGCCTGGCTAACATGGTGAAACCCCGTCTCTACTAAAAATACAAAAATTAGCCAGGTGTGGTGGCATGCGCCTGTAATCCTAGCTCCTCATGAGGTTGAAGTGGGAGAATTGCTTGAACTCAGGAGGTGGAGGTTGCAGTGAGCTGAGATCACACCACTGCACTCCAGCCTGGGCGACAGAGTGAGACCCTGTCTCAGGAAAAAAACAAAAACAAAAACAAAAACTGAGCCTCTTCCCATGGTGTTTACGGCCAACATGCATCCTATCCGGGATCGCCCACTTTCTCTGTCAGCTGCCTGGCCAACAAATTCTTCTTTTGTAGGATCTCCCCACATGATGAATCTTGAAACTTTGACCCGTCAGTGATGCCTGCTCCCAGCTCTTTGGATAATAAGGTGTTTGTGTTCATTAGAGAGGAGCTGGAAGTGTCGGCCAGAGGCAGCAGCCTCCACTGAGCATGTGACCTGGCCCCAACACACGTCCTCCAGGTGCCACTGGTGGCCACCTTGAGAGGTGCAGTTTATGGATGTGTGTTCCCGATACTAAGATTTAGCATTGGCCAAGCATAGTGACTCACACTAGAGATTCCAGCACTTTGGCAGGCCAAGGCGGGAGGAATGCTTGAACCCAGGAGTTTGAGAACAGCCTGGGTAACACAGCAAGACCTTGTCTTTGCAAAAAAATAAAATTAGCTGGGTGTAGTGGCACTCATCTGTGGTCTCAGCTACTGAGGAGGCTGAGGTGGGAGGATCACCTGAGCTCAAGGGGTCATGGCTGCAGTGAGCTATGATCATGCACTTGCACTCCAGTCTGGTGGCAGAGTGGGATCCTATCTCAAACAACCAACACAGAGTTGGCTTTGTGATGTTAAGAGCCTTGGCTGGGCCTGTAATCCCAGCACTTTGGGAGGCCAAGACAGGCGATCACCTGAGCCTCAGGAATTCGAGACCAGCCTGGGCAACGTGGAGAAACCCCATCTCTGCCAAAAATACAAAAATTAGCCAGGCAGGGTGGTGCACGCCTGTAATCCCAGGTACTGGGAAGGCTGAGGCAGGACAACCACTTGAACCTGGGAGGCAGAGGTTGCGGTGAGCCAAAATTGCACCACTGTACTCCAGCCTGGTGGACAGAGCGAGACTCTGTCTCAAAAAACAAGCAAACAAGCAAACAAAAGGACAAACTGATAGGAGGTAAACACCGAACGGAGGAGGTGGAAGAACTCTGTGTCGCCAGCAGGGCACAGGGAGGCATTCTCCATGGAATATTCCATTTGCACACAGAGGCCCATTCCAGAGGGGAGCAGCTGGTCCGACTGATTCAGAGAAGAAACTGGCCGGCTGGTAAGGCCTTGGACTGCTGCTGGGACGACCACCAAGCGCCCACATTTCTCAAAGCTCATGGAAGCAGACGTCTGCAACTTGGCTGCATGTCCCAGAAAAGGCAGAGGCCCCCAAAGACAGGTGTCCAAGAAGCTCGGAGAAGATCACACCCCATGGCGAAGTTTGACCTCAGAAACAAAATCGCTGTGCAATCTGTCTCTTTGAGGAAGGGAGGGCTGGGCTGGTGGAGGGGACCCTGAGGAAAAGGAGGCTGTGTTCTGTGGAACCGGACTGGGGGTGCAAGGCTGCTGGGTAGCCCAGGACATGTGGGAGAGGGTCTCAGAGCTGGCACCTTGCCATTTCAATGATGAGGACTGGGAGACCAAAGAGGGCACCCTCTGCCTGAGCTCAGTCAGGGCAGAGCTGGGATTCAGGCCAGGTGTGTGGACAGACTCAGGCCCAGCCCTTCAACCCGAGCCACCCACTGAGCTGAGCAAACTCGGGAGGTGGGGGCAGCCATGCTCAGTCTGACTCCGGCTGCCTGTTACACCTGAGAAGTGCTCCCGCATCCCTTCCCCATCTCCAGCCTCCACCATATCTATCCTGGGTTTCTGCAGGAGCCACTTCTACCCTGGTCACATTTTTATTTTTATTCTTTATTTTTTCAGATGGAGACTCACTGTGTCACCCTGTCTAGAGAACAGTGGTGCAATCACAGCTCACTGCAACCTTGGCATCCCGGGTTCAAGCGATTCTTCTGCCTCAATTTTATGAGTAACTGGGATTACAGGCACCCACCACCATGTCCGGCTAATTTTCATATTTGTAGTAGAGATGGGGTTTCACCATATTGGGCACGCTGGTCTCGAACTCCTGACCTCAGGTGATCTGCCCATCTCGGCCTCCCAAAGTGCTGAGATTACATGCATGAGCTACAGTGCCCAGCCCCACTCTGGTCATATTAAAAATGGGCCATTTAGGCCAGGCATGGTGTCTCATGCCTGTAATCCCAGCACTTCAGAAGGCCAAGGCAGGCAGATCACTTGAGGCCAGGAATTCGAGACCAGCCTGGCCAGCATGGCGAAACCCCATCTCTACTAAAAATACAAAAATTAGCCAGGCGTGGTGGTGCTTGCCTGTAATCCCAGCTACTCAAGAGGCTGAGGGAGCAGAATTGCTTGAACCCGAAAGGCAAAGGTTGCAGTGAGCTAAGATCACACCACTGCATTCCAGCCTGGGCAACAGAGCGAGACTGTGTCTCAAAAAAAAAAAAAAAAAAAAATTGCCCATTTATTTGGGCAAAGATCAGTCCTCTTTGCCAGGCTTTGTGGGGTCTGGCACCCACCTCTCTTTCTCCTCTCCTTTCTATTCTCTGGGCCTCCTCCCTTTCCCTGTGCCAGCAAATCTGCCCTCCTTGTGGTCTCCCAGGGTCCCCTGCTCCTTTTCACCCTAGCCTCTGAGTGTTCATTCCTCCCCACCTAATACTATGACACACACCCCAAAGTGACCTGCACCTCATCCTTCAAGCTCAGCCTCTCACCCCCCTACCCAGAGTTCTTGCAGAACCCTGGGCCACCTCCTCACAGCACCTTCCTGATGGGTGGCTGTATTTGCATTCATCTGATGATTCTGTTGGCATCGGGCTCTCTGTGTGGACCAGCGGCACCATGGGGAAAGGAGGAGTCTTGCACACACCCCCACCCTGCACTGTGGGACTCCAGGCCCTTTAGGAAGCCTGTGCCTAGTGGGACTTCACAGATTCCTGGGAGTTGCTGAACAACCTGCCCATCCATGTTACGTTCAGACAGCAAAGCACTGCAGGGCAAGGAAAGGTCAGAGCACTTCCCATCCAGAACTTTCCAGAATGCTCTCCGCCACTTCTCAGTGAGTCCCATGGCCGAGTCCACTGGGGAAATGGAATCAGAGCACCTCCCATCCAGAACTTTCCAGAATGCTCTCTGCCACTTCTCAGTGAGAGTCCCGTGGCTGAGTCAGCAGGGGAAATGGAAACTCCAACCTGATGGGCAGGTGGTGCCCGTGGGATCCCACAGGGCTCGGACACACTCCTGTGTGGTGTGACCTTCCAGGGAAGGAGGGAGGGCTGTGGGGGAGCAGGGGCCTTGGGCAGCTCCAGAGGGACTCCAGAAAGCGTTGGCTCTCGGGCTGGCATGGGAGTAGTCAATGCAAGTTGGCAGCCATCATCAATGTCGCTGTCACCTCCTCAACTGGGCTGGATGAAGAGTCATAGATGCCAACCTCTGGAGTCCTGATCAGAAGTTGTGGGAAGGGACACGCTGGCACAGAGTCAAGGTCTGCTTGCCTGATACCCACTGCCAACCCCCTGACCCCAATGGTCCCTAGTGCCTGTTTTCAGTCCCTGTGTACCTAAAATGCCACAGTGCCATCGTCAGGTGCACACAGGCTGTGGAGGGAACTGAAGTTTGCACATAGGCCAGTCCTATTGTGAGCCTGTCTCTGAGAATATGAAACCTGCACACCTCACCTCCAACGTGGATGGTCCCTGTTATCCTGGGAGGTTTTCACTGTGGCCTGTGGACCCACCATGGATCACCCAGAACCAAGCAGCACCAACACACTCAGGGTGGGATGCATCCCTTGGCCCTGGCCCAGAGGGTGTAAGGAAGGCACTTCTGGGGCAAGGTCCTCTGCAGAGCAGACCCCCTGACCTCTGACCTCTAATCACGTGTTCTGTTGCAGCGTGACCACAGGCAAGTGCTCAGCTCCCTGCTGTCTGGGGCCCTGGCTGGCGCCCTTGCCAAAACAGCAGTAGCCCCCCTGGACCGAACCAAAATCATCTTCCAAGGTAAGTGTTGTCCTTCCCCATGTGATAGAGAAGCTGCCAGGTGGTCACCTCCTCCTTCATGGCCCCTAAACCATGCTTCAAATTTTTTTTTTTAGATTTATTTTAGAAATGAGGTTTTTCTCTGTTGCCCAGGCTGGCCTTAAACTCCTGGGCTCAAGTGATCCTTTTGCCTAAGCCTCCCAAGTAGCTGAGACTATGGGTGTGCTCCACTGCACTCAAATTGGGTTTTTTTTAATGTGTCTTTAAAATGCACTTAGAGGCCAGGTGCAGTGGCTCTTGCCTGTAATCCCAGCACTTTGGGAGGCCGAGGTGGATGGATCACTTGAGGTCAGGAGTTTGAGAGCAGCCTGGCCAACATGGGGAAACCTCGCCTCTACTAAAAATATAAAAATTAGCTGGACACGGTGGCAGGCACCTGCAACCCCAGTTACTCTGGAGGCTGAGTCAGGAGAATCGCTTGAACCTGGGAGGCGGAGGTTGCAGTGAGCCGAGATCGCGGCTTTGCACTCCAGCCTGGGTGACAGAGAGACTCTGTCTCAATGAATAAATGAATGAATGAATGAATAAATAAATAAATAAATAAATAAATAAATAAATAAATAAATAAAATTCACTTCAAATCTGTACGAGTTTCCTGGGGCTACTGTCAGACCACAAACCAGGTGGCCTCAAACAACAGGAATTTCTTCTCTCACAGTCCTGGGGCCAGAAGTCTGAAGGTGTGGGCAGGGCTGCGTTCCCTCCAGAGGCTCTAGGGGAGGATCTTCCTTACTTCTTCCAGCTTCTGGGGGCTCCTGGTTCTCCTTGGTTTGTGGCCACATGGCTCCAATTTCTGCCTCTGTCATCACGTGTGTGTCTGTTTTCTCTCTATATATTTATTTTGTTGGTTTGTTTTTGAGATAGAGTCTCGCTCTGTCACCCAGGCTGGAGTTCAGTGGTGTGATCTTGGCTCACTGCAACCTCCATCTCCCCAGTTCAAGCAATTCTCCTGCCTTAGCCTCCTGAGTAGCTGGGACTACAGGCACGCACCACCATGCCTGGCTAATTTTTTTGTATTTTTAGCAGAGACAGGTTTCGCTGTGTTGGCCCGGCTGGTCCTGAACTCCTGGCCTCAAGTGATCCACCCACCTTGGCCTCCCAAAGTGCTGGGATTATGGGCATGAGCTATCACGCCCGGCCTGTTTTCTCTTCTTATAAGGACACCAATTTGCATTTAGAGCCCACCCTAACCCAGTACAACCTTACCTTAACTCTATTACATCTGCAAAGGCCCTGCTTTCAGATAAGGTCATCTTCTTGGGGATTAGGGGTTAGAATTTGGACACAGCTTTTCGGAGGACAGAAATTAAACCCTTAACAGAAACCCTCACCCTCCCTCCCTAGGGTTAAACAGTCGCAGAGTCCTTTGAAGAGGTGGCCTTTGCCCCCCTCAGACAGTTTACCAGTTCCTGCCCAGGGCCCAGAAGCAAGATGGTTACGGGCGGGGCCCTCTGCCCCTCAGCTGTTTGGGAAGAATCTGCAGGCTTCAGCCAGGCCCTTCCCACCACCTTGAGCCGATCCCCTACCCTCTCTGTGTCCCAGTTTCCTCCTCCGTAAAGTGGAGGCATGAATATCAGCATCCTCCTTGGCAGGCATGGGCATCCAATGAGCTGGCAGGTCTTCAAAAGGGGCAGGCCCTTTTATTTATTTATTTATTTTGAGACAGAGTCTCTCTGTTCCCCAGGCTGGAGTGCAGTGGTGCGATCTCGGCTCACCGCAACCTCCACCTCCCGGATTTCAGCGATTCTCCTGCCTCAGCCTCCCGAGTAGCTGGGATTGCAGGAGTCTGCCACCATGCCCGGCTAATTTTTTTGTATTTTTTTTTAGTAGAGTCAGCGTTTTGCCATGTTGGCCAGGCTGGTCTTGACCTCCTGACCTCAGGTGATCCACCCGCCTCGGCCTCCCAGAGTGCTGGGATTACAGATTTGAGCCACTGCGCCTGGCCAGGGCAGGCCCCTTTAAGTGCGCATGAGCAGGTGCGGGGTGTTGTGTTCTTCAGGGAACTGGGGTTCAACCCTGGAGGCAGCAGGCATGCATGCACGTTGCACACACAAGTGGTGGGGGGCGAGGGCTGAGGGAAGCGGGCTGCCAGGCCATCAGAGGCTCCTGGTGACCGTTTGTGGCCCATTTTTCTGGGTCTCTCCCAAGAGTGCTCATGGCCCAACATGGCTCGGGTCCCCCATGCCCAAGGGCAGCACAGAACCAGAGAGGGAACCCGGCAGCCACAGGGGGTGGGAGAGGCAGGATAGCGGTGCCTGTGCTGGGGCCGTGGGAGGGGCATGTCGGGAAAAGAGGACTGACCGCACACGTAGAACCCGCAAGCCTTGTTCTGAGAGCCAGGGCTTTCAGCTGAGGCCCAAGTGCCTGGTGGCTGGGACACCTTCACTGCAGGGGTTTGGGTGAATAGTAGTCTAGTCCAGGGACAGGGGGCTGAGTGCCAACCCATCTCAGACACGTTCTCTCACTGGAGACCCTCACTATTCTGGGGGTTGGGTGTCGGCTCAGCTCCCATTCCTGGGACAAGATTAGGGGGAAGAGGAGGGCGACTCTGCTAGGGGGTGCCGGGGGTGGGGCCACGCAGACGGAGGTTCTCAGTGGCTTTTGTGCTTCTGTTTTTTCCAGTGTCTTCAAAAAGATTTTCTGCCAAGGTGAGCCACTATGTCACCGCCCTGGCCTGGGGACAGTCACCACTACCCTGCTGGGCTGGCAGGAGTTAGGCAGGTGATCTGAGTCTCAGGGGTGGGGACAGGACTACCTGTCTTCCCATCCCCAGCTCTGCCTGGACACAGGCCAGCCTGGGAATTGACGGGACATCCCGAGTGTCTTTCCGGCAGTGGGGTGGGGAGACTTGACAGCTCTAAAACAACCTTTCATGTTTGATTTATTGTTAGAGAGCAGGTGCTACCTTCTTAATAAAGAAAAAGATAAACTGTAAAAGCTAGAATGCCAAACACCAACAGACATGCCCTCGGGCAGGCTCAGAGCTGCTTTGCAGCCTGGTTCGCTTTGCAGTCCCCAGGGATGGAGAACTTGCTGGGGTGGGAGGCCCAGAAAACATAGGGAGGAGGGACGGGGCTGGGGTTGATAATGTCAGTCTGGACAAATCGGGGTGGGGCCCTCACATGGGGGTGGGAGTGTTTACTGTGCATGGAGATGGGGTCACCCCGGCCCCGCCTCCGCACTTTCAGCGCTCTGCTGGTCACACAGGCGCACAGGGAGGGCAGGCAGAGGCGGAGGGATGTTGACCTCCCCGCTTATCTCCAGGAGGCCTTCCGGGTCCTCTACTACACCTACCTCAACGAGGGCTTTCTCAGCTTGTGGCGCGGGAACTCGGCCACCATGGTGCGCGTGGTGCCCTACGCCGCCATCCAGTTCAGCGCCCACGAAGAGTACAAGCGCATCCTGGGCAGCTACTATGGCTTCCGCGGAGAGTGAGGCCCCGCCCCGCCCTGCCCCGCCCCGCCCCAGAATCGCCCCGCCCACGCCCGCCCCTCTCTCTTTCTTCTGCACGCCCTGCCCCCTGCCCTCCCTGTGCCCCGCCCTCTCCGCGTTTTCTTCTCGGTGCCCTGCCCCTGGCCCCGCACTCCCTCTTCCCCCAATGAAACACCGGGAGACTCCTCACCCAGGCCCTCCTGAGGCGCCCCCTGACTCTGTCACGTGCCCTATTCTGTCTTCAGAGCTCCTCTCCTTTGCCCTTTTGTCTCCAGACGTTTCTCCACCCCCACACATAAATCCCGGAGAGACAGGCCACTATGCCCCCTGGGCCGCAGGGAAAATACGCATCATTGATTAATTTATGCCAGCAGCGGGGAAGGGAAGGCAGCCATGTGAACCTCAAAATGAGGCCCACTCCAGAGACCCCATCATCTTGGCCACGAGAAAGCCAAACCCGCTTCGTGTTCCTCGGTCTCCACCCCTGTCCCCGCCCCAGCAGAGACGTGCGTGTGCTCCAGGCTGGGCCTCTGTGTATCTGCAGTCCCCTCACTGGCGTCTCGCCTTCTCCCCTTGCCCTGTTCAGAGCCCTGCCCCCTTGGCCTCGCCTCTTCGCCGGCGCACTGGCTGGAACGACAGCCGCTTCACTGACCTACCCCCTGGACCTGGTCAGAGCGCGGATGGCCGTAACCCCGAAGGAAATGTGAGTCCTTACGTCTGTGATGCGCATCAGCCCCGGGGGCTCTGTGTCTCCGGGGCTCCCAGGTTGGAATCCCTCTCTCTATCGGGCCCCTGGGGTTTGCATCTGGGCCGCTGTGTCCACAGGGCAGGCCTTGCGTTTTATTCTCTCAGCAGCTGTTCCAGAAAGGCAGCAATTTGTTCTCTTAGCCTGGGGGTCAGTTTTTGCTTAGATCAAAACCAAGAGTCTTCATTTTGAACTGGGCACAGATGCATTAAAAATATGTAAGAATATGGCAGTGGCTCACACCTGTAATCCCAAAACTTTGGGAGGCCGAGGCGGGCGGATCAGTTGAGGTCAGGAGTTTGAGAGCAGCCTGGGCAACATGGTGAAACCCCATCTTTACTAAAAATACAAAAATTAGCCGGGCATGGTGACACTCACCTGTATTCCCAGCTACCCGGGAGGCTGAGGCAGGAGAATTGCTTGAACCCGGGAGGCAGATGTTGCAGTGAGCCGAGATCGAGCCACTGCACTCCAGCGTAGGCAATAGAGCCAGACTCTGCCTAAAAAAAAAAAAAAAAAAAAAAAATGTGAGACTAGATTGCTTAATTCAGGGAAGATACCATGATCATGAAAAATGTGTTAAGAATAGACTGGGCTTGGGCCTGGGTGCAGTGGCTCATGCCTGTAAACCCAGCACTTTGGGAGGCCAAGGCAGGAGGATTGCTTGGACCCAGGAGTTTGAGATCAGCCTGGGCAACATAGCAAGACCCCATCTCTACAAAAACTGAAATATTAGCCTGGTGTGGTGGCATACGCCTGTGGTCCCAGTTGCTCCAGAGGCTGAGGGAGGAGGATTGCTTGAATCTGGCAGCTTCAGGCTGCAGTGAGCCATGATCACACCACTACACTCCAGCCAGGCCACAGAGTGAGACCCTGTTTCCAAAAAAAAAAGACAAAAAAAAGTGTAAGAACAGAGGCCAGGCATGGTGGCTCATGCCTGTAATTCCAGCACTTTGGGAGACTGCGTTGGGTGGATCACCTGAGGTCAGGAGTTCAAGACCAGCCTGGTCAACATGGTGAAACCCCGTCTCTACTAAAAATACAAAATATTAGCCAGACATGGTGGTGGGCGCCTGTAATCCCAGCCACTTGGGAGGCTGAGGCAGGAGAATCGCTTGAACCCAGGAGGCAGAGGTTGCAGTGAGTCGAGATTGTGACACTACACTCCAGCCTGGGCAACAGAGGGAGACTGTCTCAAAACAAAAATAAACAAACAAACAAAAAAAACAAACAAAAAAAGAGACAAGGGCTGAGCATGCCAGAGTGCTTCCTGTGGCAAAGGTGGAGTCTGGGCTTACCCATGCATTTCCCCTCTAATGCCAAAGCTTGGGCGATGGGGTTATATGTCTTGAAGAAGGAAAACATCAACATCCAAACACACCCAGGCCCAGCCGGCTGTGGGAGGAGCCGAGAGCCTCTGTGGCTCCTCCCTGTGCCTGGGAGGCCCGAGTCCCACCTGCTGGGCTGCTCTGTCCTGGCAGGTACAGCAACATCTTTCATGTCTTCATCCGCATCTCGAGAGAAGAGGGGCTGAAGACCCTCTACCATGGATTTATGCCCACTGTGCTGGGGGTCATTCCCTACGCCGGCCTGAGCTTCTTCACCTATGAGACGCTCAAGAGCCTGCACAGAGGTAAGGAGAGCTGGGGGCATGGGGAGGGGACGTTCAGGAAGCATTCCCTGGGGACCGCAGCTCCACCTGGGTCACATAGACCTGGAGACTGGGCAGAGTGGGGTACGACCCCTGGGTGGGGCAGGCTGTAGACCCACATCCAAATCGGGAGAAAACACACTGTGTCCAGCCACCACTGAGGAACCTGGACTCACTGCCTGAAATGCCTGTGTGAGAGGAACTCTGGCCAGTGCCATGGCTCATGCCTGTAATCCTAGCACTTTGGGAGGCCAAGGTGGGCGGATCACTTGAGGTCAGGAGTTCCAGACCAGCCTGGGCAACATGGCGAAACCCCGTCTCTACCAAAGATACAAAAAAATTAGGCATGGTGGCACACGCCTGTGGTCCCAGCTACTGGAGAGGCTAAGGTGGGAAGATCACCTAAGCCTGGGAGGTCAAGGCTGCAGTGAGCAGTAATCTCACCACTGCACACCAGCCTGGGTGTCAAAGTGAGACCCTGTCTCAAGAAGAAAAAAAAAAAAGTGACTCTGGGAAGCTCAGTGTGTCACCCAGAGCATTGACAGCCACCTAACATCTTCACAAGCACAAACACAAAGCATATGGGTAAAACCCAGATGGAAGGGAAGTACTCTTGCTTGTGTTGGTACTTGGGAGAAAATCAAAAAGTACAAAGAATGATATCATACTCATACCTGCCACCGCATGTGAACATTTTGCTACATTTGCTCCCAGATATTTTGGTTTTTTTCTTTGTTATAGAGATGGGGTCTTCCTCTGTTGCCCAAGTTGGTCTCAAACTCCTGGGCCCAGGCGATCCTCCTGCCTTGGCCTCCCAAAGTGCTGGGATTAAAGGTGTGAGCCACTGCACCCAGCCTGCTCCCAGACATTTTTTGTCAAAGAAATAAAATGTTAGGGGTAATGTTGAGGGCCCAAGCCTCTCTCCTGAGGCCTCTTATTAGAAGTGAGGGTTGCACCCCTTAAGATTGCTTGGAAAATACTTCTGTATGTATTTATCTGTGGCATGAACAAAACCATGTCACCTTTCACAGGTATACAAAACGCTCACCCGGGAGTGCAGCTCCCAGCTCAGCTGGTTTGGGGTGCATCCACCAGCATCTATGCTCTGTTCCGCCTTTTTAGTGGCTGCACAGTGGGCCTTCCCTTCTTGGGGTGCCTTTGGCTGTTACCAGGTTTTCTGTGATCAGCCGACATCCAGGAGCTCGTCTCTTTGTGTGACTATAAAACCCCATTTTTGGTGTTTCTTTCTGGAGTGCTTCCCAGCCCCTTGTCCCCATGTTCTCACCCCACATGATGCCATCAGACCCCTGTTTTTACCCACCTGGTGAGCAGATCACAGTGCCTCCTGTCTGGCTGTTTTTTTGAGATGGAGTCTCGCTCTGTCGCCCAGGCTGGAGTGCAGTGGAATGATCTCAGCTCACTGCAACCTCCGCTTCCCGGGTTCAAGCCATTCTCCTGCCTCAGCCATCCAAGTAGCTGGGATTACAGGCTCCCGCCACCACACTTGGCTAATTTTTGTGTGTTTTGAGTAGAGACGAGGTTTCTCCATGTTGGTCATGGAGAAACCCTGTCTCTACCAAAAATACAACATCAGCCAGGTGTGGTGGTGCATGCCTATAATCCCAGCTACTGGGGAGGCTGAGACAGGAGAATGGCTTGAACCGGCGAGGCAGAGGTTGCAGTGAGCCAAGATTGCGCCATTGCACTCCAGCCTGAGCAAAAAGTGTGAAACTCCGTCTCAAAAAAAAAAAAAAAAAATTATTTCTCGAGTTTGAGTGAAAGGAGCGACCCCGGGGATGAGGCCAGTGGGGCATGTGGGTGCGCATGAGTGTGAACACACGTGGGGGTGCAAGTGCATGTGTGTATGTGCACGCAGGTTGCTCCTAGGGGTGCAAAGGTGCGCGCGCACGGGTGCGGGGTGCACGCCCCCTCGCGGCGCCCTCACGGCCCTCCTGCCCCTTGCCCTGCAGAGTACAGCGGCCGCCGACAGCCCTACCCCGTCGAGCGCATGATCTTCGGCGCCTGCGCTGGCCTCATCGGGCAATCGGCCTCGTACCCGCTGGATGTGGTGCGGCGGCGTATGCAGACGGCCGGCGTCACCGGCTACCCGCGTGCCTCGATCGCCTGCACGCTGCGCACCATCGTGCGGGAGGAGGGCGCCGTGCGCGGCCTCTACAAAGGCTTGAGCATGAACTGGGTCAAGGGTCCTATCGCCGTGGGCATCAGCTTCACCACCTTCGACCTCATGCAGATCCTGCTGCGGCACCTGCAGAGCTAGGGTACCCTGAGCTGCTCTCAGGACGGTGGACCAGTGACCCCTTTGTATTCTGGGCCCATGGAACGGGGGGCGCGCTTGATTCCACCTCAGGAGCCACATGAGGCGCTTTGTGGAACGAGAAGGTGGACCTGAGGAGCCTGGGCTCAGAGTCCAGGTCCAAACGCAAAGCTGGTGGCCCTGGAAGTGCAGTGTTGGGGCGATGGTGTGGGGGGCCCCGCAGCCCCCCTCCTCCTTCCTCTGCAGAGGCTGGCGCCGCCTGCCGGAGGTGTTGCCCAAAAGGCCCTAGTGGGGCGTGGTCGACTCCACCTCCTGATCCTGTGTGTCCTCCGACATGCTGCTGATTCTAGTGACCCCTGTCCCCACCAGGCTCAGAGCCAGACCGCGCCTGACCCTTTTTGTTCTGACTCCAGGTGCCTGCCCGGCCTCCAGGGTGCAGGGGAGCCTTTCCTGCAGGCGGACCCTGCCCTGGATGGGGCCAGCCTCGTGATCAGCTTTGGTCACAAATGCAGCCCCTGGACCACCCCACCCTGCCAACCCTGCCTTCTCCAGTATTTCCCGTGCGGCCACGACTCCTCAGTCACCAGAGCCTCCTGCTGGGAACAGTGTCCCCCAGAGCCTCATGTCTGTCTCTATCCTAGACCCTGCAAGCAGCTGGGTCCTCAAGAGCACATCTCCCCCTAGGGTTGCCTGCCCACCTGCTTTGTAACCTTCCCAGGAGACTCACGCTTGCTCTGTGCAGCAGGGCTCGAGGCCCAGGCCATGACATGGAACTGCCTCAGGTTTGGGTCAGACCTGCAGCCTGGGGCATCTGCTGAAATGTAAGCACCCAAGCCGCCCCCTTTGGCCCAGAAGCTCCTGCCCCCTGGGCCCAGCGTCTCAGTGCCCCAACCCTCTGCCCAGCTGTGGTATCCAACGGGTCCCTGGGTCCCCGGGTCCCCATTTGAGCAGGCATTTGGCTGGGATATGGAGCAATTTAAAGCCCACAGGAGTTGTTCAGTTTCTATGAAATGGAGCACGGGGCACCTGGTAGCCTCGATCTCCCCGAGTGGGAGCCTCATGACAGAGTATAGCCTGGGGGTGGGAGGTGAGGAAGAGCTGAGGTACCCAGGGGAGCTAACTGGTCTCTCAGAGAAGTCCCCCAGGGCCCACCAGGTATCACAGGGACTCAGAAACACCCTTCTTCTTTTTTTTTTTTGGTTTTGGTTTTCAACTTGGCTGACCCCGGGTCTATGATCTATTGACATTGAACCCCTGACCAGTCCGCCTGGTGCCAGGGTGAGCGTAACGTGAGTGTTGCTTTCCACGGCTGGCTCAGCACACGCTGTGTGAAGAGATCTGAGCTTGTTCATCTCCAGCTGTGACTTCCATTTCTGCCTTCCTTCTGTCCTCCTCCTGTTCTTGCCTTGGACCTGTGGGTGTGCAGACCGCTCTCTCTGCCTTCCTTGCATGTGGCCACCAGCCATCCCTGATCTTGTCCCCAGAGGCCCAGGCAGCCTGTGATGGCTGTGAGGGGTTGTCCCACTGGGTGGGTATCCTTTACCCAGCACACAGACTTGGCAGGAGAGGCAGGGCAACCCTCACAGGGAGATGAGAGGGCACCCAACTCACACAAGCGTGTGACAGAAATAGGGATTGGGGGTCTGCCCCAGGTGGGTGAGACCAAATGGGTGGATTTGGGGCCACAGGCTAGGCAGGAGAGACAAGGCGTAGGTGGGAGGGTCCCCCAGGCCCTGCTGACCCCAGTGTGTCTCCCCGGAGATGGCTCCCAGCTGAGTGGGACCCGGCAGGAGTTGGGACAGTGCTGTCCCCCACCCCTGCACACAGCCAGGCCCTCGAGGCTCTGTGGTCACTCGCCTCCCTGCTAGTCTCTGGTCCTGGTCTGGAGTTATATTTTGATGCCATGAAGACACTGTTTATATCTAATGTTTATATATTTTAAAGATTTGTGCCAAGAGAGTATATTTAATAAAAATATAAATGACTTCTTCTCCTGCTCCTGGCTGTTCTTTGGCTCTGACCCCACATCTTCCCCCATGAACCCCCAAACAGGGTTGAAGTGTTTTTGAAACATATTTGTGATAAACGTTCTGAATAAAAGTCTTGAATAAAGTTTTTAAATGCAATTGTTGTTTGAATTAATACATACCACAATTTTCCAGAAAACACCAGCTGTCCACAAGGGCTTACAGTGAAAAGTAGGTGAACAGTTCCCTCCGCAGGGGGCCTCCTGTGACCATTTTCTCCTGTCTCCTCCCACAGAGATTCTGTGCATACACTCGTCCCATTCAGGATATACGTGGCCACCCACAAAGGCAGGAGGGGCCGTCTCCAGCTGCATCCAGCGCAGCCCAAAGTCTCATGGACTTGAACACGGCCTTCCTTCCCAAGAACCCTGCACTCTGGGGCTGGCTGAGGCTTCAGGTCTGAACATCAGTCACCATCTGCAGGGGCAGCCACCACAGGGTCTCCAATGGCAATCCTGGCTCACTTCGCCTGCAGCCCATTGGCCAGAGCAACTTGCAGGGCCCACCCACCACCAGGCCAGAAGTGGGAGCCTCTGCGTGCCCAGAGAGGAGAGGTGGCTGGGCCAGCACAGGCCTGGTGCTCTTGTTGGGGTGGGAGTAGGAAAAAGTTCCACTGTGCTGACCCCCCCACTGCTCTCCAACCTGCTCACGTGCAGCAGGATTTCTTTTGAGTTGGTCTGTGTTGTACATACTGTTTAGCAGCTATGCAGTTTTCTCCTAGAGGATTCCCATGGTAAAATTTACCTAATCCCGGCACTTTGGGAGACTGAGGCAGGTGGATTGCTTGAGCCCAGGAGTTTGAGACCGGCCTAGGCAACATAGTGAGACCCCCATCTCTACAGAAAAAAAAGAAGAAGAAGAAGAAAAATTAGGCCAGGTCCAGTGGCTCACACCTTTAATCCCAGCACTTTGGGAGGCCAGGGCAGGTGGATCACTTGAGGTCAGGAGTTCGAGACCAGCCTGACCAACATGCTGAAACACCATCTCTACTAAAAGTACAAAAATCCCAGCTACTCAGGAGGCTGAGGCAGGAGAATCGCTTGAACCTGGGAGGCAGAGGTTGCAGTGAGCCACTGCCCTCCCGCCTGAGTGACTGAGCAAGTCTCCATCTCAAAAAAAAAATTTTTTTTTAATTAGCCAGTCTTGGAGGTACCAGCTACTCAGAAATTTACGCATCCCTTATGTTACCAAACCAGGCTCGTTCTGCCCGTCAGTACGACAACAGAGATGACAGGTTTTACAGCAAAGAGTTTATTCACAAGGCAGCCAAGTGAGGAGAAAGGAGAACAGGTCTCAAATCCGCCTCCCTGAAGACGGGGTTTTAGGGATATTTAAGGGATAGAGGAGCAAGGTGGTCAGAGACATGGGGAAAAGTGGGGCAATCGGGGAACCGTGCATGCGTAGTCAAGCTTCATGGCTTTTCCATAGGATGTGTGTTCACCAAATGACATTGTTATCATGATCTCAGGGTGTAGTGTTTGGCCTTCTAACGTCAAAAGGTCACCACCTAAAAACACACAGGCCGAGGTGAAGGTTCGGCTCTCAGCCCATTTGAACTGGACAAGAACTGATCCTGTTCCTGAAGAACAACTTAAGCAACCATTACCATGGTGGCCCATACATAGAGATGTTATCTATAAGGGAACTAGTGGGAGTTTTTTGGTTTTTTTGTTTATTTGGGGTTTTTGTTTTGTGTTATTTTTGAGATGGAGTGTTGCTCTTTTTGCCCAGGCTGGAGTACAATGGCACGATCTCGGCTTACTGCATCCTCCACCTCCGGGGTTCAAGCGATTCTCCTGCCTCAGCCTCCTAAGTAGCTGGGACTACAGGCGCGCCTGCCACCCAGCTAATTTTTTGTATTTTTAGTAGAGACGGGGTTTCACCATGTTGGCCAGGCTGGTCTCAAACTCCTGACCTCAGGTGATTCACCCGCCTCAGCCTCCCAAAGTACTGGGATTACACGCTTGAGCCACTGTGCCCAGCATTCATTCCTTCCTTCCTTCCTTCCTTCCTTCCTTCCTTCCTTCCTTCCTTCCTTCCTTCCTTCCTTCCTTCCTTCCTTCCTTCCTTCCTTTCCTTCCTTCCTTCCTTCCCTCCCTTCTCCTTCTTTTCCTTTCCTTTCCTTTTTTTTTTTTTTTTTGAGACAGGGTCTCTCTCTATTGCTCAGGCTGGAATGCAGTGACACTACCATGGCTCACTGTAGCCTCCAACTCCTGGGCTCAAGCAATCCTCCCACCTCAGCCCCCCTAGGAGCTGGGACTATGGGTACATGCCACCACACCTGGCTACTTTTTGTATTTTTTTGTAGAGATGGGGTCTCACCATATTTCTCAGGCTGGTCTCTAACTTCTGGCTCAAGTGATCTGCCTGCCTTGGCCTCCCAAAATGCTGGGATGACAGGCGTGAGCTACCACACCTGTCCTGGGAGGTTAGCTATATAGTGTTTAGCTGAGTGACTTTTAACACTATGGAGTTTATAATCAACTAAAAACAAGTGAGGTAAGTGAATATTGGTAGGTCTAATCAGGTGAGCCCTCAGTTCCCTTTATGGATGGGCAATTATGTTGTTAGGTATTGCCATGACAACATGATAGCAATTTGGTGGGAGCTACTGAACTCATCTGCACCCCGCCTCCGACATCCAGCCCAGATTTCTGATCTAAGTTCCATGTTTCACCCCAGTCCCTGAACCTTGGTCAACCCCTCCCCTCTCCTGCCCACCACCGTGGCATCTCCTAATAGTACAGAGGTGAGCCCGTGGACCTGTCTAGACTAGTGACAGTAAAGAAGATGTTTGCTAGCTGTGTCCAAGAAGAACTTCAGGAGACTCTCGTCCTCTTTTCATTGAGATGGAGTCTTGCTCTGTTGCCCAGGCTGGAGTGCAATGGTGCAATCTCGACTCACTGCAACCTCTGCCTCCCAGGTTCAAGTGATTCTCCTGCCTCAGCCTCACAAGTAGCTGGGATTACAGGCGCCCGCCACCATGCCCAGCTAATTTTTACATTTTTAGTAGAGAAAGGGGTTTCAGTATGTTGGCGAGGCTGGTCTTGAACTCCTGACTTCAGGTGATCTACCCGCTTCAGCCTCCCAAAGTGCTGGGATTACAGACGTGAGCCACCACACCTGGCCACCAAATGCTTTTTGCTATAAGCAATTCCACCTAGCCTAGGAATCTCCTGAAGAAACACAGCACAGTACCCCAGGTGCAACTGGCTGGCCGATGACTGAAGATAGGCGTGTAAGTAGCTTAACCCGTGCCGGGACGTGGGATCACCCTGAGATAATTGCTCTACACTGCCCCCATAAGGCCCCCAGCAGGACTGAGCCTGGGTTGCCCACAGCGTCACCTGCTCATTGGTGCCCCCTGCAGGGCACCTTCCCTCCTTGTCTCAGCTCTCACCCGCCATGGGGGCTGCCTGGGGACACCTCCCAGGTAAACTACCAGCTCTGAGTCCTTTTGGGGTCATCTTTGAGGGGAACCTATCCAAAAAGGAATAGGAATGCCAGGTATTCCTGCAAATAGATCATATGGATTTACGCCATATACTCCCACCCATCTTTGATCTTCCATAATCTGACAAGTAAAAAACCATATCTCGGCCGGGTGCGATGGCTCATGCCTGTAATCTCAGCCCTTTGGGAGGCTGAGGCAGGCAGATCACTTGAATTCGATACCAGCCTGGCTAATACGGTGAAACCCAGTCTCTACTAAAAATACAAAAATTAGCCGGGCATGGTGGCGAGCGCCTGTAATCCCATCTACTCAGGAGGATCGCTTGAATCCGGGAGGTGGGGCCGAGGTGGCACCACTGCACTCCAGCCTGGGTGACAGAACACGACTCCGTCTCAAAAAAAAAAGATATCTTACCTGGTTGGTTGGCTTTTTTTTTTTTTTGAGACGGTGTCTCGCTCTGTCGCCCAGGCTGGAGTGCAATGGCGCAATCTTGGCTCACTGCAAGCTCCACCTCCCGGGTTCGTGCCATTCTCCTGCCTCAGCCTCCTAAATAGCTGGGACTACAGGCACCCGCCACCATGCCCTGCTAATTTTTTGTATTTTTAGTAGAGACGGGGCTTCACCATGTTAGCCAGGATGGTCTCGATCTCCTGACCTCATGATCCACCCGCCTCAGCCTCCCAAAGTGCTGGGATTACAGGTGTGAGCCACCGTGCCTGGCCTTTTTTTTTTTTTTTTTTTTTTTCTTTTTTTTGAGACAGAGTTTTGCTCTTGTTGCCCAGACTGGAGTGCAATGGTGTGATCTCCGCTTACTGCAACCTCCACCTCCCAGGTTCAAGCGATTCTCCTGCTCTGCCTCCCGAATAGCTGGGATTACAGGCATGCACCACTATGCCCGGCTAATTTTGTATTTTTAGGAGAGATGGGTTTCTCCATTTTGGTCAGGCTGGTCTCAAACTCTTGACCTCAGGTGATCCACCCACCTAGGCCTCCCAAAGTGCTGGGATTATAGGTGTGAGCCACCACGCCTGGCCTAGTTGACTGGTTTTTTTTTTTTTTTTTTTTTCCTCAGGTCTAGCTTAGAGCTCTTTTCTTTTAAGAATAGCTCATTTGCAGGCCGAGTGCAGTGGTTCACACATGTTATCCCAGCACTTTGGGAGACCAAGGCAGTTGGATCATTTGAGCTCACAAGTTCAAGACCAGCCTGTGCAGGATGGCGAAACCGTGTCTCTACAATAAATACTGGGCCTGGTGGCACGTGCCTGTAATCCCCACTACTCAGGAGGCTGAAGTGGGAGGATGACTTGAGTCTGGGAGGTGGAGGTTGCAGTGAGTCCAGATGGCACCACTGCATCCCAGCACAGATGATAAAACCAGACCTCGTCTCAAAAACAAACAAACAAACAACAGCTAATTTATGGCCAGGCATGGTGGCTCACACCTGTAATCCCAGCTCTTTGGAAAGCTGAGGCAGGAGGATCACTTGAGACCTGGAGTTTGACACCAGCTTGGGCAACATAGTGAGACCCTGTCTCTACAAATAATCTTTTTTTGATGGGACAGGGTTCTCACTCTGTCACCCAGGCTGGGGTACAGTGGCACAATCACAGCTCACTACAGCCTCAACCTCCCAGTGTCAAGTGAT